CGACACCATTTGTGATCCTTGGATGGTATGGAAGTACATTGTTTCGTTTCTGTTTCGGGATTATAGAGCTAGGAACATCGTGGATTACCATTATATGAAGTGAGTGATTTTCTCAATTTTATTAACTATGTTTCTAATTGATGTGCCGGGAATGGAAGATGTCCTGAAAAGTGAAAAAGCACATAATACAAAATTATTACACAAAATAATATTTAACGATGTGGGCGACAGAAATAATCGAAAAAGGTTAAGACAATTTAGTGGTTTCTCTTTAGCAGAGAATAGTAAAGAACTTAATGAAAAATTAGAAAAAATCAAACAAGATTTTCAGGCTTATGAATTAATTTCCATTGCCAATGTTTTATATGCATTGATAGCTCTGGCACACAAGATGACTTAGCAACCCGAATTGTTTCTTATCTGAATAATTTAGAATTGCTTAAAAATAATGTAATTTTAGAAGAAAGTGAAAACGAAAGTGATTTAGAGGGTGTGGATGGTGGGGATAAAAATGAAGTAGATGATAATGTTCGAGATGAAACGAAACTAAGAAACAATTCTGGTGCCACAGTGAGACAACTTCCTTCCCAATGTGCTAATGATAATATTCTTAGTACAATTGAAAACAAGTCGAATGTATTTCATAACTGTAGTATAAATGTTACTATTGAAGACATCAAATCTTTTGTTGCTCAATTTGATGGCCAAAGCCACGAAAATGTCAGTAGTTGGGTCGAAAGTTTTGAAGATGCAGCTACCATTCTTCAGTTAAATGAATTACAAAAACTGATTTTTGCTAAACGCCAGATGACAGGCAAAGCAAAACTATTTGTTCTTAGTGAACCAAAGTTGAACTCATGGCAAGTTTTTAAGAATGCCATTCTTGATGAATTCCGGTCCAGCTGCAATTCGGCCAAACTGCATGAGTTTATTATCAAAACAAAAAATGAAGAGCAATGAAACATTTGATGAGTTTTTTTTAAATATGAAAAGAATTGCTAAAAATGGTCAAATTGAAGATGTTGCTTTAATACGATATGTTATAGATGGTATACCAGACTCCGCGTTTAAAAAATCTTGCTTGTATGGGTCACAAACATTAACTGATTTTAAGAACAAATTGAAGATTTATCAACAGATATGTGATGATGAAGAAAAGTCGCGAACGTCAAAACAAAATCTGAAAGTAAACAAAAATTTGAATCTAGACATAAATATGACTCAAAAAATTCTGTTAACCAAACAAAGTGTAACGTAACCGATAGTCGAGGAACAATTCCTGAAATTAAATGTAATACAACCTGTTTCAACTGCGGTGAAAGCGGTCATATTTCCAAACATTGTGTTCATAAAGATAAGGGAGTCAAGTGTTTTAAATGTAAAGAATTTGGGCACCGAAGTTTCGAATGCTCAAATACGAATTTGAAACCAGAAGTATCACCCGTGAATATTGATTGAATATTGATGTAGTCTCGAAGTTGACCAAAGAAGTAAAAATTAATGATGTATGTGTAACCGCGTTAATAGACACAGGAAGTCAAACTACTTTGTTACGTAGATCGACTTTTGATAAACTGAATATCGAAGGCCTCGTGCCCGTAAGTTCAACGTTGAGTTGGTTCGGTAAATGTCAAGTAAAACCTCTAGGTTTCTTTAAAGGTAACATTAAAATTAATGATTTCCAGTGTACTGCAGATATTTGTGTTGTAGACAACAATGTGAATGACACATGAAGCCATTTTAGGCTTAAACGTAATATTAAAAGGTGAAATATTAATAAATGAAAATGGGGTTACCATAAAAAGTAAGTCACAGAGTGTAGAGGAAAGTAAATATTGTATCTGTTTTACCTACCTGTTGACCTAGCTAGTAACGAAGACGAAATAAACATTGCACCTAGTGTTCCAAACTACTTTAAAGAGACTGTTCAACAGTTAGTTTCGAACTATATGCCACGTAAGACCAAATCTACGGACATACAGTTAAAAATTTGCGTTAAAAATAACGAACCAGTATCGCATCAACCGCGTAGATTACCGTTTGCGGAAAAGAAAATTGTTGAAACCCAAATATCCGAGTGGCTAAAGTCAGGAATTATAGAACAGAGTTCTTCGGAATATTCCAGCCCATTGGTCATCGTTAAAAAGAAAGACGGGACACCAAGAGTTTGCGTTGATTATCGTCGTTTAAACAAAGTTGTCGTAAAGGATAGATTTCCCCTTCCCCTGATTGAGGATATCCTAGACCGCCTTCAAGAAGCACGTGTTTTCAGCGCTATTGATCTCAAAAATGGCTTTTTTTCACGTGGACGTCGAAAAGGAAAGTCGGAAGTACACATCATTTGTTACGCATGAAGGACAGTACCAGTTTTTGAAAGTGCCGTTTGGACTCTGTAACTCACCAGCTGTATTCCAGAGATTCATAAATACCATTTTCCGACCGTTAGTTAACGATGGCATCGTTTTGCCGTACATGGACGATATCATCATTTTGTCCGCCTCATACGAAGAGGGAATCGAGAGGCTGAGTCAAGTTTTAAATCTAGCGAGTGAATACGGATTGGAAATAAATTTTAAAAAATCCCAATTCTTAAAGAAACGAATTGACTTTTTAGGTCATGTCATAGAAGAGGGTAAAATTTTCCCATCCACCTTGAAGACGCAAGCTGTTATAAATTTCCCTGAACCATCTAATTTAAAACAGATCCAAAGTTTTCTTGGGCTGACAGGGTATTTCAGAAAATTTATTAATAAATACTCTATAATTGCCAAGCCACTTAGCGACCTGCTAAAAAAGGGTAATAAGTTCGAATTCAGGGAAACCTCTAGGTTTCTAGAAGAACAAAAGATCGCATTCAATCGTTTGAAATCAGCGCTAGCTAAGAAGCCTGTACTTGCAATTTATAACACTCATTATGAAACCGAACTACACACAGACGCCAGCATAGAAGGATATGGGGCGATTCTAATGCAGAAACCTCCAGGTGATAGCAGTTTTCACCCCACGTTATTTTATGAGTAGGAAAACCTCTGATGCAGAGAAAAAGTACTCAAGTTACGAGTTGGAGGTCCTCGCGATCGTAGAAGCACTGAAAAAGTTCCGTGTTTACCTTTTGGGAATTTCATTTAAGATAGTGACGGACTGTTCAGCATTTCAACGGACGATGGAAAAAAGAGATTTAGCGACGCGTGTTGCTCGTTGGGCTCTGTTGTTACAGGAATTCGATTATGTTATAGAGCATCGTAAAGGTGTTAGAATGCCACATGTAGATGCTCTAAGTAGAGCTTCCTGTAAACGTCTTATGTATTTCTGTTGAAAAATATCTTACCTAAATTAAAACTTGCCCAAGAAAATGACACTGAAATAAAAACCATTAAGGAATTATTGAAAACCTCAAGTTATGAAAATTATTGTAATAGAAATGGCGTACTATACAAGTTTATTGACGGTAAAGAATTGATAGTCGTACCGGAAAGTATGCAGACTGAAATCATAAAAGATGCTCACGAGAAAGGGCACACCGGTATCAAACATACAGAGAAACACCTGGATGAATACTATTTCATTCCCAAACTTCGGCAGAAGATAGAAAACGTTATCGCGAATTGCGTTCATTGCATCTTAATAAATCGCAAAGCAGGGAAAAAGGAAGGATTTTTACACCCGCGATTCAAGGAGGACATTCCGTTGCATACGTATCATATAGATCACTTGGGTCTTCTGGAAAGTACCCATAAAAAACTACAAGCACATATTAGTAGTGGTCGACGCCTTTACTAAATTTACTTGGATTTATCCAACAAAATCTACGACCTCTGCCGAGGTGATAGCGAAGTTAGAGAATCAGAAGGCCATTTTCGGAAGCCCTTGTCAGATCATTTCTGATAGAGGAACGGCTTTCACATCCAGTGAGTTTTCTGACTACTGTGCTAAAGAAGATATTAAACATCATCTAATCACCACAGGCCTGCCGAGAGCAAATGGACAAGTCGAACGAATCAACCAAGTCATTATATCAGTATTAGCGAAACTGTCCTTAAAAAAACCAACCGAATGGTATAAACATACACACACGAAGTTCAGAGAACGCTTAACTCAACATATCAAAGAAGCATTAACACCACTCCGTTCGAATTACTCTTCGGTACTAAAATGAACAGTAAGGGCACCGATCAGCTCAAAGAACTGATAGAAAGTGAGTTTCAATCTCAATTCGAGTCTCAAAGAGAAGAATTACGAAAGCAAGCCAAGAGGCAAATTTTCCAAGTCCAACAGGAAAATAAAAAGACATATAATGCCAAAAGAAGACAAGCACAGCCGTACAAAGTTGGTGACTTAGTGGCAATCAAAAGGACTCAATTCGGACCACACTTAAAATTAAGAGCGAAGTATTTTGGACCTTATAAGATAACGAAAGTTAAGGGTGGCAACACCTATGACGTAATAAAGGAAGGATGCCATTAGGGGCCCATATGCACCACCACATGTATCGAATTCCTCAAGAAATGGACAGCGCTTTAATATTTTTCATGAACACTTATTTCTGTTATTGCATATCCTTGCTTGTTGCTTTGTTTTTTTGTTTTGTTTTTTTTTTGTATTTTGCAGTGTCCTGGAGGGCCAGTCCACCCTCGGATGGCCGAACCATGTAGTGCCGATCGCTTGGAGCTGTGATGAAAACCAGATGCCGTGACGTCATTCTCTCTACAAGCTTCGAAGGCGCCAAGCAAAAATTAGGGAAATTACCGTTTTGAGATGATAGACGATTGACGTGGGAGCAGAGACGCTGCTTCTGTTCAAAAAGAACTTTAAGGAATCATTACTTGTTTAATTCTCTTAAATGTTAAATTTATGTAATAATCGTTTGTGTAATTAAAATGTCTTTCGTTAATTAATTTGTTCATCGTTTAAAATCCCCACATACATATACTCATAGACTATGATAAATTCAAGTAATCAATATGAATATCCTCTTCAAGATACTTCTAAATGTAACTTACTATATCTGCTATTGGACTTTTCTTTTTCTTTTGCCTTTCTATCTCCATTTGCATTCTAGCCATATCTTTTGCTTGAGCCAATGCCTCTCGTGCTTCAGCCTGCAAGCGAATGTGACGCGTTAAAAGATCTTCTTCAGGATAAGCACTTTCTTCTGGCTTTGCAGCATGCCAGCTACGTGGGCGGTTGAAGAAAAATTTTGGCCTCTGTCGTTTTGTCACAGATGCAGGAGCATTATTATTGTTTTGCACCTTTACAGCAGTACCCTATTAAAATGAAAATAATAATAATAATTAATATATATATAGAGAGAGAGACAGAGGGAAAGACAGAGAACTTGTATAGCAGATCATCAAAAATTCATACAGCTCTGAGATATGCAGATTTCAGATCATAAATGAATATTTAAATATAATAATTTTTAATTTACATATGCACAGCAATGACAAAACACAATGTCTGAGCAGTTGGAAAGAGTGCGAAATAAGTTAACTACCCCTTGAAGAGTCAGTATTATATCGCTTTCAATTGTTCATTTTTCAGTAATTTTTTGATACTGCTATATTTTTTATTTGCAATTTTTGCATCTCAATTTGTATGCTTTTCCACTACTACTAGCTAGTGCTTGTAAGGCAATTTTTTCCAACTGTCACTTTTTCTTTTACAATATTTCAATTTTTTTTTCAAAATAATTTTACCTTTTGGTTTTTATCAAATCAATTTTCATTTTACCTTTGGTTTTAATTTTTCTTTCTTCCCTTTCCTATTGCAATTTTGTAGATGGAATTTATGTAATCTTCCAATTGTAATTCTTAGTTTTCTTTATTGGCATTCTTAATTTTCACTTTATTGGAGTTTTAATAGTACTCCCCTTTCATTCATTTGATTAATTTATAATTTAAGATATTTTGCTTTCTTACTTTCTTGAATAACATTAATGTTGTCTTAATGAATTTAAGTTTATGAAATTAGAGACTAAGATAAATTATCATACAAATTTAGCTAATAAATGCAGTTTAAACACAGGTCTTCATGACAGATCCAAAAACTTGCACTACTCAGAAGTTTAAATTACAACTGAAAGGTCAGCAAATAAATTCATAATAAGCATGTAAAGCCATATTATTTTTGACATTTTAACAGAAAAATACTATTTACTGAATATATTGTAAATTTACATAGAACGAAAATAAGAATAAAAACATACAAAAAATTAGTCTTTTTTAAACACCTATATAAAAATATAAAAGTTAATCTATTTCAGATTAAGTCCTACATTCAGTTTAAGAGTCATTACTTCATGATCAGTTACACAGTCACTATACATAATAAAAGATCAGGATTTATTTAGAACTTGCCATTCTGATTCAACAAAAGGTATTGCTTTTTTTTTTTTTTTTTTTTTTTTTTTTTGTTCTAATAACAACAAACTGTTAACAAAGCAGCAGCCCAAGAAACATACAATACAAAATGTACCCAAAAGTAACAATGGAAACTCCAACAATACATTGAAGATTCATTGCTGCTCAAAAACATAATTATACAAGAATATCTGAGAAAAATATTTCAGAGTTTGCGCACTGAATAATTTAATGAAAGCAATTCTGTGCTCACAGTTCTTCCTACTCTTGACATGATTAACATTTCAGTGTTATATTAGAACTAAAATTTAATTTCAACTTGTAGTTTATGAACAAAAGTCTTTCATCTTGGATAATTCCAAGGGACTTTAATGGCAGACTTACTTCGCAAATGTCCAATCAAAATCCATGCGCGTTTTTTTATCCAAATCTCGCATGTCCCAAAAAAGCCAAGATCAACATATTTTAAAACAAGGTTTTTTATGCTACATTGTGAAAGGTAACTCAGCTTTATACCACAAATTGACAGTTACCTTACAACATGAGCACATTTTGGCTGTAGCCTGCTAGGCAGGGCAGGCCCTGCACCAAAGCCAGTAGAATCACACCAGGCAGCAAAACTTCAGAATTTAAGAAGAAAGGGAAAAAAAACTTTAAGAAGAAACCATGTGGCAGGGTTTAGAAATTGCAAAGTCAGCACCATGTGGTGAAAAGGTTAATGCCAGCCCTACTATTGTATTAATTTTTGCAGTATTTTCCGATTATCTGCATTCCACTGAAAATCTTGGGAACAAAGTATTGATGAGTCAATCCACCATGTTACCAAGCATTTATGAGGCAGTCCAAATATGCATAGTATCTCCACAGACAGATTTCAGCTTCTCAGGACATTTTTGACAGAGTGGCTGCAGATTACAATCCCTTCTATGTGAATTTTAACTTTTAGCATAGCAGTGGACTGTAATTTTCATTGTTTTTCATGAAATTTCAGATTTAAATTTCTGCATGTACAAAAAGTAATGTGGCTTGTTTATAAGCATCATATGCCTCTTTTTCCCCCCTTCATTTTAGCATTTTGGCACTGAGATTGCATACATTTTTTAAAGTGAATACAGATTGCTATGCGCAGAGAGAGAACATCAGCACATAAAATGAAGAAGTGTGCGTGCCTTACATGGCAGATGAAAAATGTAAAAAATATGCTGCACTGAATGCATTTTTAGAATACATCTAAAGGTATCCAAATAAACCTGGCAATGAGCTTGACTTTTCAGTGAGGGTACAAGTAACCAGAAAGTCCCATTTTTACTTACACAAGTTTGAAAACACTTGAAAAAGTACTTATTTAGTGATAATAATAATAATAATAATAATAATAAATTGCAGTTATCAATAGAATATGGTAGCCTGCTTCAATACTGAATGAGAATAACTACAACAAATAATCTCCACTATTACCATAAGTCCATTTGAATAGTGAATCTAAAATGTGGCTATGTGGATTTCAGGCATTGATGGATTTTCAGTCTTCTATTATATTAATATTAGCCAGTTTTGGACATCATAATACTACTAGTAGGCCCCCAATTCTCTCATGAATCGAATAAACAAAAGAGTTAAACTCACTACAGTATGAACTGCACAAGAATGAGAATTAAGAAGTACAGAATAAATCCAAGTTTAAAGTTGTACATACATTTTGAGACTTGGTGATAAGATTAAATGAAACTAAATAATATTAAATGAATGTGGATCAACTATCTTGTTATTTTATTTTAAAACATTAATCAAACTTTGCACAACATACAGCAGTAAAGTGAATAAAATAAATCAACTGATCAAATCAATCAAAAAGTTCACTTACACAGTGTTCTTGATAAAAACATTGTTAAATATTAATAAACACTGATCAGCTGAGTGTGTCCAGCAACATGCATCTTTTGCTTTTCTAATACAAGATACAGTAAGACCCCGCTTAACGCTGTTTCATTTAGCGCTGTTTCGGTTTAGCACTCTTTTATTTCAACCCGGGGATTCTCCGAAATTGTGCGCAGCGCTAGGTTTCCAAATAACATATCCGAAACAGTGTAGTTGTGTTTCTTGCTTGGTGGACGCATTTTTATCATTTGAAACATTTGTTGACATTATTGTAAGTTTAAATTTGTATAATACTATAACGATTAATACAGTGACAAATATTATGATCTTTAGTTTTTATCATGGGTGATAATAAAAAACAAGAAAAGAAAGCAACCAGAAAAAGCATTTCACTGGAAACTCAAATGCAAGTTATTAGAAGATTAGATTCTGGTGAACGTCAATCTCAAATTAGTGCTGCATTGATTTTGGCAACTTCAACAATAAGGACAATTCTTAAGAATAAAGAAAAAATACTGTCATCGGCAACTGCAACTACGTCAAGCTCTGCAACTAGAATTACCCATTCTAGAAATAACATTATAGAGGAAATGGAAAAACGACTGTCTATATGGATTGACGACAAAATTGAACGCAATATGCCATTAAGCCAATCTATCATAATGCCTCCTTCTTGACAAAAAGGCAGAAAATTGGAAACCTAGAATAGACTGAATGATCTGACTGAGAATTTTATTTTTTTAAAAAAGTATATGCGTTTATATTGTTTTTATTTTTGAAAGAAATAAATATTTGATTTTATTTTTATTAAAAAAAATTATTAAATTTAATGCCTAACCATTTTTTATCCGTCTTCCCCTAACCCCCTTATTTACATGTTAAGATAGCCTCGCTTAGCGCTGTTTCGCATTACGCTCTACTTCGATGGAACGTATCCCCCGCGTTAAGCGGGGTCTTACTGTAGTCTGTTATTTAAAAATAGGTATTGCAAAGTCATGATGACCCTTTTCTTATTAATAGTCATAATGTGCATCGTCATCGTTACACAGAGAGGATTAGAGAATTTAGCAAATTAGAAGGCTTGATCATTTTCAGAAACAATCATTACTGTGGACACGAAATGAGCCAAAAGATAGAAAATGACTTTGAAGTGCGTATATAAAAGTAGGACATTATAGTAACTGTGGACAGTTATGCAGGATTTTTAAAGCCATTAGATGGTTATTGAATAATTTGAAGTACCATATTAAAAGAGATCATCAAATTGAGACTATTAGGCACTTTCTGATTATATGCTTCCCCACTGAAAAGCAGCAGAAAAGCATTGATGAGGTAAAGCCAGTAGAATCACACCATGCAGCAAAACTATATACAGTACAAAGTCCGTATTTCCTGATTATAAATCATAAATTTAAATCTTGTAAGATGGCATGCAGAAATTATATAATTAAAAATATGAAACCATAATTTATGAAATAAAGAGCAATTATGATATAAAAGGTATCAAAATTTACAAAAAAAAAAAAAAAAAAAAAAAAAAAAAAAAAAGGAAGGGGCTTAATATTTACTTTATTAAACATTTCTTTCAATGTAAGTTGTTCAAGTTGCTTCGTTTTTTGTGCTAATACTTTCTCTTTAATTCTATAAACAGCATCTATCGGAAGTGCTATTTTCTGGACCTAGAACCATACTACAGATTTCGCTGTCCGTTAATTGATTGACGATTGAGACATTGTCATTGCAATGAGAAACTTCAGTTATATCATCTTCATTTATTACCGCTTCTCCACATTTCTTTACAAAATCCAATAACAGGAAAATTTCACCTTTAGTTTGTGACGTCCGAAAACCTTCAAATTCGTGGCTATCATCTTCATCGCCCTCACAATAAAATATAGCAGCTGGCCATAAATTATGTCAAGAATTTTTTAACATATCTGAAGACACATCCTCCCAGTGCACATGAATAAAGCATACAAAAAAAAAAAAAAAAAAAAAAAAAAAGGGTACTATTTGGTTTCGAGGGC